AAATTAACTGTTTTCATTTTCCATTGAATTCGATATGTTTTCCGATGATTCTCCGCCGCCATTATCGAATTTAAATTCTATAAAAAAAATAAAAAAAAAATTTATTATTAATTTTTCCCCTGTAAAAAAAAAAAATTATTTTAATAAACAAAAACCTTCACGTTGTCCCACTTCCGGTTGTCGCACTTCCGGTTGTCGTTCGTTAATCAAAAATTTTTTTTTCTTTTTTTTACATTGTAAATCGTAATCATCGTTAAAAATATTTTTTTTAATTTTTCCGGTTTTCATATCATCAAAATTAAAATTTTTATTTAATTTTTTTTTCCTTTTGTTTTCCTCTTGTTTTTCCTCACACGTGACTTTTTCCTCTCTTAATATTTTTTCAAATTTTAAATTTGTTTTATTCATAACATTAAAATATTGACTTTCTTTGTGTGTCAAATCATTTTCCATACATTTTTCCAACGTTAAATTTTCTTTTTTCTTTTCTTTTCCAACATCATCGTTGACCTCACTCTGTACTACGTCAACATTATCTAAGCATTCTCGTCCCGGTAATAAATTTTCAGATAATAATAATAATAATTCATCATCTTCATCACCGTCAACATGGCAATTTTGTTGTTCTAAATTTTCTTCCGGTATAACAACATCATCCAATTCGCTAACATCAAATTCAAATAAATTTAAATAATTTTCATTTTTATTTGATTCTTTAGCGGAAAAAATTAAACTTTTAAACGTCCTCGTACTTTGTCCATTTTTATTTTTAAATCGTTTTGAAATTTCCACGGATTTTCTACAATAAAAAACCAAAAAAAAAAATTTAAATTAATTTGTAAAAAATTTGTTTTTAAACGTTAAAATGTTTGAACATTTTTTTTTTTTTTTGCGAAATTACTTAATTTTATGTGGATTTTTTAAATAATTTAAATAGTTTATCATTATTTGACTAAATTCAATAATTTTTTTTTGAAAATTATTTTCCATTTTATTTTTTAAATTTTTATATTTGAGATTTAAAGTAATTGTTAGTTTTTGCAAACGTTCAATTTCCTTATTCAAATCATTATTTTCTTCTTGAATTTTATTTAATTCGATTGCCAAAGGATATTTGTTATATTCAACCTGCAAAAAAATTTTATTTTTTATAAATTTCATCTCCTTTCCTTTTCCATTACAATTTCAAAACCAATAAATTTTTTTGTTAGAAATTTAAATTTAATATATTTGAATTTTTATATAACTCACCAAATTTTTTTGCCATTCCGTTTCATAATACCTAATTATTTTATCATATTTTATTTTTTTTATTTTATTATTCCTTTCCATTGAAACAAATTCTGATTTCAAATCACATTTGTATTTATTTAATTGATTTTTTGCTTGTAGTAAACTAAAAATAACAATCCAGTGATTAAATAAAAGTAAAAAGTTTTGTTTTAAGTAAGGAAAGAAAAGTTTTTATTTAATTAATAAACATGACAATTTAAATGAAATATAAATTATTATTATTATTATTATTATTATTATTATTATTAATATAAAAATAAGAAATTAAGTCAAACCTTTCAGTGTTGAGTTGATTAATTTTATTTCTTTTTATATAATCATCAACAAGTTTACAATTTTCTATTTTAGCTAACGTTAGCATTTCAATTTTGTTATCTGTTTCTTTTAAATTTGATTCGACAGCTTAAATTATAAAAAAAAAAAAAAAAGAAAAAAAAAATTTTTCTTTATGTCTGTTTTGAGATAACAATCGATTGTAAGTACAAAAAATAGAGATAAATAAATTTTTTTTTTTTTTTTTGTTTTACTTACCCAGACCATATTCTGTCAATTCTAATAATTTAATATGCCTGTTTGATGCTGTTCTAGCAATTTCAGCTGCGGATTTAACAACAATCGGAATTCTTTTAGCCGGAGAGATAAAAGATTCTTTATCGTTTTCCATTTTAAAAAATAAAAAAAAGTAAAACAATTTTTTTTTTAACGGTTAAACTCTTATCTGTTTTTTAAATCAAAAAACAAAAATTTTTGTAAGAATTCGACAACCGTTAAATAAGAATTAAAAATTTTTGTTTTTCCAAAGTTGGCAATCGTTGAATTGTCGTTAGGAAAAATGGTCGAATTCATTTCGCGTCAGTTTCTTTACATAATTGTCTTTAAAATATTTTTTATATATTTTGTTGATTTTTAATCGAAATTTTATGGAATTTATTTATTTATTTATTTATTACTTTTTCATAAGTGACATTATTTCGTAGGTGAATTCATTAAAAAAATGTTTTAATTTGATATTTGAAATGAAAACTTATTGTTGAGTATTTGTTTAACGTTTTTTTTCCTTTTTAGATTCTGTACAAAATGTCGGCATGTATGAGTTGATGAAGGCGTCTTTTTGCCTTTATATAAACATTTTACAATTTCGTAATTATGTCGTAAGTATTATTTAGTTTAAAATGATGAAATTTAAAAAAAAACAACCTGTCCAAAACATATATTTATAATATTAAGGTTTACATTAGTATAAATATATATATAAAAGTTACCGTTATATAATATTGCCAATACATATTATAATTAAATTTTTTTGTCAATAATTACTTTTTTTGCAATGTTTTTTTTTTTTTTTAATAAACCTGATCATGCAATCATATGAAAAGGTTTCCTTGCAAATTCCACACAAATTACTGTTGATTTAAAATACACGAATAGCTTTCGTGCAGAAAATGATGTAATTGGCAAATATTTAGGGTTATTTTACCAGCCATCAAAGAGAAAAGTATTTTTTTTTTTTTTTTGATAGATGGTCTATTAAAGGAATAATTGGTTGTGCCAAAGTTGTATTCTAAAAAGCAAGTTTTTTTTTTTTATTTATTTATTTAAAAAAGAAAATTGTTTTTGTTCAAAGTGTTTATAGAGTGTGGTAAAACATTATTTTATAACACTTGATGTAATTTTGCACAGTATTACTATTTTTATTTTGGACAATTATTATTTATTATCAGATTAATTGATTAATAATTGTAACGTTTTTTTTTATTTTTGTTTTTAATCTCAACTAAAAAAAAAAAACATAACAAAAAATGAATTTGAATGAAACTTTTTTGACAGAAAAAAAATTAAATGAATTACAAGAAAATATAGATGCAGTTTTTTTAGTGACAAATGCAACTTTTATTTGCCGTAAGTTTCTTTTTTTTTTTTTTTAATTTTAATTAATTTTTTTATTTTAATAATTTTTTTTATAATTTTTTAGTCATGCAATGTGGTTTTGCATGTCTTGAAGCTGGCTCAATAAGATCTAAAAATGTGACAAATATAATGATGAAAAACATATTAGATATTTGTAAGTGAAAAAAAAAAAATTGTTTGAGATTAATTTGGATAGATATCATTATTAATTAAAAAGGAATAAAATATTTTTTTTTTATAGTTATTAGTTGTTTGGCATTTTGGATAATTGGATATGCATTGGCTTACGGTGAAGGAAGTTCATTTGCCGGAAATTCATTTTGGGGAAGTTTTCAAATGCCAGCAAATAAATTTCCTCATTGGTTTTTTCAATTTGTTTTTGCTGCAACGGCTGCGACATTGGTTTCGGGTGCAGCTGCGGAAAGATGTAATTTTGTAGCTTACCTTATTTATAGTGCTCTCATATCAGGTACCGTTTATGCCAATAATTCATTGTATAATACCTCGAAAGATATTGCAATTTTAATTTACATTTCAGGTTTGATATATCCTATTGCCGCTCATTGGGTATGGGCTCCCTCCGGATGGCTGTTAAATCTTGGATATTATGATTTTGCTGGAAGTGGTCCGGTACATCTTTTAGGAGGAGCATGCGCTGGAGTTGCAGCTGCTCTTTTAGGTCCAAGAATCGGTCGCTTTGAAGGAGAAAGTATGCCAGGACATTCTATTCCAGTAAGTGATTATTTTATATATAAAATTTTTGTCCTTAAAAAAAAAGTACTACATTTTTTTCTTAAAGCTTATAGGAATAGGCGGAATGATACTCATAACAGGATTTATTGCTTTTAATGGAGGATCTCTTGGCACCATGACATCACCCGGAGCAGGTAATACTATTTCAATTGTGGCTGCAAACACAATAATGGCAGGATCCGGAGGTGCTTTTTTAGGATTCGTTTCGGCTAAACTAGGAATAATTAAACCTAAATCCTGGAATTTCAGTTCAACATTAAATGCAGCATTTACTGGAATGGTGGGTTGGCTAAGTAAATAAAAATTTTAATTTTTTAATATCGGTTTTTAAAAATTAAAAGTTTATGTCTATTGAACAGGTATCCATATGCGCATCAGCAGACGATTTAAACTTTTTAAGTTCGTTTATAATGGGAATTATAGGAGGTTTGATTTACTACGGTTTTCATTTTTTGATGCTCCATTTAAAAAGTAAGGAAAAACCGTTGGTTTGTTATATTTTTTTATTTAATTTATAAAAAAAATAATGAAAATTGCAATGACAGATAATACAATAATCGAGCCAAATATTTTTTTAAATAAATAATAAAAGCCAAAAAAAAAAAAACTTTTTGATTATAGTTGATGACCCCCTCGATGCAACAGCTGTTCATTTTGGTGGAGGCGTTTGGGGCGTTGTCGCAGGGCCAATATTTAAATCAAACGGATTATTATACATAGCAAACAAAAAAAACTTGATGGTAAATGAATTTAAAAAAAAATTTCTTACGACGAGGACAAATATTTTATTTCAATTTATTTCTTTTAGAATTTTACATACAACATTATTGGGGCTTTAGCCATATTTTTTTGGGCGCTAATAACTTCCTTAATACTTTTTGGCACTATGAAATATTTTAATATATTACGAGTAAGCAAAAAAGAAGAAATTGAAGGATTAGACATAACTAAACATAAAGAACAAGCTTATCGTATTATGGAGGGATGGCATTCGTCTAACAATTATTTCATGCAAACTGGCAGTAAGTTACACTTAATAAATACAA